TACATTAGGAGACTTTTAAAAATATATTTTCAGTGACATCTATGCAATGAGAAGCAATGCTGAGATATCTTTGTAGCCCAGTTTATTGTCTGTTTGCATATTATTCTATATAATTTGGTGAGCTGCACAGTGCATTTTCATTTACAATTGTAAACAAATTAAGAAAAGCCTCCTTTTCATTCAAGGCCACTGATACTCTCAAATAGTATCATTCCTGAAATTATGTGGAGTGGCAAGAGTGTTCTTTTCTTGCTGTTGATAATCCTTGTAGAAATAGTGGCCATCCAAAAAAGAAGGCAAGCCTGTGCCAAACAGGAAATTAAAAATTATAAAATCCTGACTTCAGTAAAGAATGTCTCCAGTGTCTGGAGCAAAATGATTTTTTCCTTTATTTTGCTGATGGACTTATTATTATTATTATTTTACTCTGGTATTAGACAGACTTGAGTTGCTTTCCTGGAGTACAAAAGGGCAAGAGAGAGGAAAAGGAACAGCAACAGCTACTGCTGTCTCTTCTTCTCCTCCTCCTCCTCCAAGAATTTTGCATCAAACCATTCAATGTGAGCAGTATGTGAAAACTAATTAGGGCTGCATCCACACTGCAGAAAAAAGCCAGGTTGACATCACTTTAATTTCCATGGCTCAGTGCCATGGAATGGTTGTCATTTTGTGAGACATTTTGCATTCACTGTCAGATAGCTCTAGTGACACAAGCTTCAATTCCCAGAATTCCATAGCAGTGAGCCATGGGAGTGAAGTGATGTCAACCTGGATTATTTCTGCTGTACTGATGCAGCCTAGGAATAATTATAAAGGTAAAGGTTTTCCCTGTTAACAAGGTTGTCAAGCAGTAGCTGACTGTAGGGGGCTATGCTCATCTCTGTTACTAAGCTGAATAGCCAGCGTTGTCAGAGACTACTCTGTTATCATGTGGCCAGCATGATTGCACAGAACGCTGTTTACCTTCCCACAAAAGTGGTAACTATTTATCTACTTGCATTTGCATGCTTTTGAACTGCAAGGATGGCAGAAGCTGGGACTAGTGATGGGAGTTCACCCCAACATGCAGCACCCAGGTCTCAAACTGCCAACCTGCCAATCTTGCAGTCAACAGAGTCAGCGGTTTTAACCACTTGAGCCACCGCATCCCTAGGAATGATTTTAGCTAGGGCTTAAAGATATCTGATTTGCCAGTCTTTCTTCTGTCATCACTGTCATCATCTCTAACCTATCACCTAATTTAATTTCATCTAATTTAAAGATATAGCTGTGCTAGTCTGTAGAATTAATATATATAGAGATTTTGTAGCACCCTTGAGATTAACTGGGGGAAAAAAGATGTTTATAGTATTAGCTTTCATAGATTCTAGTCTACTTAATAATAATAATAATAATAATAATAATATTTATTTGTATACCGCCCTGTGGCGAACCAATCCGGGCGGTTGACAACAGTAAACCGGACCCCCCCTCCATGAAAACGGAAACTCGCTAATAACAGAAGAAAACTGAAAAGGAATGTTGGCTATTGAAGAACCAGTCAGCATGAGTAGAACTCAAGAGCTCACATGATACGTAGTTTTTCAAAGGACCCCCCACATGTAGGTCGCCAGGAACGACATCCCATTGCTCACACTTGTTGAAAAAGTAGATGTCTGTCTGTATCTGGGCAAGTTTCTTGAAGAGGTTGATGGATTTTCCACATCATTAGGCTGTAGAATTAATATACACTCACGGATTTGAATTCTGAAGTCTTGATTCTTTGCGGAAGGGTGAGCTCCATAGGATAAAATAGTATGTGCTCCCATGGCGCACATGGGACCACATGACCATTCAAGCCTATAGGGCTTGAATATTAGCGAGTTTCCGTTTTCATGGGGGGGGGTCCGGAACAGACTCCCTGCAAAAACGGAGGAGCATATGTATATAAAGACTTTCAGTTTTCTTCAGTTAAACTCCTGCACTCCTATCTGTCCCTTCCACTGCTCCTTAAGCATCTGAAGAAGTAGACTAGAGTCTATGAAAGCTAATGCTACAAACATCTTTTTTTTCCCAGTTAGTCTCAAAGGTGCTACAAAATCATCTAACCCTGTCTTTTTCCAAAATTGGGACTCAGAATGGCTTACAAATTAAAATACTTACAATATAGTTAAAGCATACAAATTCTAAAAATAGAATTAAGCTATTGACAGTGATAGAACAATTTAAATATAAGTTTTTTAAGGTACATTTTTCTAGCTGTTTGATTTCAGGATTTTTCTGGTCACCTTTATGACTCATGGCCATGCTGGAATTCAGAGTCAATTTGGGAAAGCTTTATGATGTCTTGACAGGTTTCTGCTGATGCCTTTGGGTAGTGGGCCATTTAATGTGTGGCTCAGGGTGAGTCTGTTGGATCTTCAGGGTAGGTCAGAATGTGTGTGGGCTTTTTAGGAATCCTTTTACAAAAACAAGTCAGGTGGAGGCGTACCTCATAGCCTGGAGGCACATCAGGTGGAGGCATACCTCATATTGTGGAGCCATAGGGTACTTGGTCTGAACAAATGGTATGGCACAGTCTTAACAGGATTCACAGTTTAGATTCATTCCACTCACAAATTCTTCTTACATCCAACCACAATTTCAAAATCTGGAGCTTTATGTTTCATAAATGAGTATGCTAGTTTATCATGGAAAAATACAATAGAAAGAGGTGTTTATCCATTTTATAATTTCTTTCTTCTCTAAAATTCTCTGCACTAAGGTTGCATTCATTGAACATGATATGGACAGTTAAAATATAATTGCATTTTATAGAGGATAATAGAGTTAATGGATTCCAAGGCAAAACAGATCAATGTATACTAAAAACATGCTTACACCAAAATTGTTTTACCATACTGATCAGGGGCAAAATAATGTTTGTCTTTATTCAACGTGGATTTGGGGTTTTCAAATGCTGTGTTCTTTATTTTTTAAAGATAGTTTAAATGCCTGGATGTGCACATTTTCCCCTGGTTTTCAGGCTTTTTGGTTATGTCTTTTCAGTGATAATAGAGAAGAAATAAGAAAAAACACAAGAAGTTCTATCATCCTTTTTAAATTTACTTGGTTGAGATTTCAGGCTACTGTAATCTGGTTAAATGTGCTTTAAATGTTAATTGGATGTGAATGGGTCAAAGTACTTCTTAATGCTATAGGCAGTTTAGTATCAATAGATTACAAATAGCATCTTCATCTTATTTTGTTGGTGCATTTTTAAAAATATATATAGAAATGGTTCACTGATTTTGTTTTATTTTACTCTTCATTAAGATTATACGTATTTCATTATTCACAAATGAATGGTAGAAAAAACCAATAACTTGCTTGGAAATCTTTATTTTGATTACTACATGATTAATAACATTGTTTTGCATTGTTTATTTCCTTGAAATCAGAGTACTCTGGATGTAGCGATTGTTGGTTAAGTGTTACTGTCAGACAAAGGGCACCATTCCATCCTTTGTTTATTCTTCTGTTCACCTGCCATAATTCTTCAACAGTGAAGAAATAAGGAAGTTGCTGTGACTGCCTCCCATCACATGTTATGAGAAGAGTCTGTGATGTATTAGAGGGGTAGATAAATTTGGCCTGAAAAAGATGGGCCAAATGACATGGTTTCCCACTGTGTTTGGGGCTTAGTGGTTAGATGACGCATGCCCTGAATGTGGTGGGAAACCACGCTGAACCTGTGTCATTGGAAAAGAACCGCATCAAAAAGGAGCGGTAAAATACCTCTCCTTTTGCTGGCCCAGGTCAAAACTGTGGCAGCAGCCCAGATTGAGGCCGGGTGCATGCTGTCACTGCTGTCTCAGCCCAAATGGCACTAGCACAGCCCTGCTGCAGTTTTTTTGGCCTGTCTATTTCAGGCCTTTGTTCCACTGCAGAGAGCTGAAATGTGGATCTCTGACAGTAAGATCTCTCAGGACCAAGAGCTGGTAACAGGCTTTTACTTCCATTGAGGCACTACCTAGGCATCCCATCTGAACCCTACATGGTTTCCAACTTAAAGCTAGCCGTGCTGTCACTTTAGCAGATGTCTGACATAGAAACCCATTCCAATAACCATTTGCCTTACTGTTTTATGCATGTATATATGTTTGTGTACATTAGTTAAAGCTCATGACATCACCGCTCATTGTCAGTGGTGATGACAATCTTCCAGGCTGTTTGCTTCCATTTAATTTCTTCAGTTTGATCTCAAAACCATCCTGTTTATTTAGGAATCAATATATCACACTTCTCAGCCACAGCAACCTCTACAAAAGCTACATAAAAGAGTGAAATCAAGCAATAAGTGGAGTCAGAGTTTTAAAAAGCAGAAGTGTTCTCTTGAGCATCCCAATCAACTGTGTCCTGAAGTCAAATACAAGGCTCCAGATACCTTAGAAGAGCAGATTCATACAAGAGAAGGCAGACCTACATCTGTCCCCAGACCACTTAGGGTTTCAAAGTAATAACCTTGAATATACCAGAGAGAGCGAATAGTTTGAATTACACTTGAGTAATCAAAGCAAATCCTGGCCATTGTTGAGCTGGAATAAAGGGCAGCCAATATGATCAAGGAACTGGAGCATCTCCTCCAGCAAAGAAAGATTAGACAATTTGTGGCTCTTTTGCTGGGATGGGGGAGTGAATAAGGGAAGACATGTTACCGGTGCATACAATTATGCATGGTGTGAATAAAGTGGAAGTGACTTTATTACAATGGGGGAAAACCTAGGAGAGATAAAAGGAAGTAGTGCTCCACACAGTGCTTAGTTACACTATGAAATTTGCTACCACAAGATAAAATGAGGACTGCCAGTTTGGAAGGGTGTTGGACAAATTCCTGTTGGATGGATACTGGTCAAAATAGATATAAATTCCCTCCAGGAACAACAACAGTATGCCTCTGCATATCAGTTAGTGGGAAATGCAAGGAGGTAGATGCTACTGCATTCATATCCTGGTGATGAGTATGTGGTCAGCTAACTTATGCCAGTGTGGTGTAGTGGTTTGAACCTTGGATTATGACTCTGGAGATCAGGGTTCAAACCCCCGCCAGAGCATAAAAGCTACCACCTAGGGCAAGTCACACTTTCTCAGCCTCAAGAGGGAAATGGCAACCCGCCTCTGAAGAAACTTGCCAAGAAATTCCTATAATAGGGAGTCACCATAAGTCAAAAATGACCTGGAGGCACACAAAACAACAACAACAACAAAACATGCTAGGTTTTTGATCTGGCCTAGTATGGCTCTTAACACCATAGGTGGTACATTTTGCATTTGCTGAAGTTTCTGAAACCTTTTCAGAAAAAGACTCATGTACCAGTAATCCAATCTGGATTACTTGATGTTATCATGGTATCTATGACTGTGGCCTGATGTTTTTTCCCTTCCCAGGAAAAGACAACATTGTAGCCTGTAGCCGAGTAGATTCCTGAGAAATGCTGCTGGCCCTGTCTTCTGGTTTAGATGCACTTGGGGAGTCTTGAACAGCTATTTCTTGACTATTGGCTGGTTTGCAAATTATGTTTTTGTACATGGAGTTGTTCCTTTTCTGTTTCTGTGTAAGGATGTGACTCACATACATCACCATGACATCTAGATTTCAAAGGTTCATCTGTTAGAGCCATGTGTTTTTAATTCATACACTGTTTGTCAGTGTATGTAGATTCTTAAAATTCATACAAAGTAATGTACAGAACAATCATAAACAAGAACTGTTACTAGAGATAATAGCAAAATTGTTGTTTAACCTTGTCAAAATAGAAGAAAAATTACAATTTTCATAAAGTACTACAAAATTATTGCCTATACATTGGTCTTTAGAACTTTTTAAAGTTGTTGGGCATGATCTAGCCAAAGATGGATACTTTGAGACCCCTTGAGGTCATTAAATATATGAATGAAATAAGTTAATTTTAATAGGATATATTTAAACATATGTTTAATGCTTCTAGAAAAAATCAGTGGAGTTTAAATGGTTAACACTGACTGAAGCAAGCTGATTCCAGTGATCCCTTGGTATCTTCTTTGGGATTTGTTCCAGAATCCTCTATGTATATCAAAATCCACAAAAAAGTCTCATTAAAAACAATGGCACAGTAAAATGATGTCCCTTATATAAGATGGTAAAATCAAAGTTTGCTCTTTGGAATTTCTATATTTTTTGAATATTTTCAAGCCATGGATACTTGGATTCATGGATAGAGAATCCATGGGTACAGCTGGCCGTCTCTACTATTCATTTGCTTTACAATATTTTGCAGTACCTGCAAAATTGAGTAGTGGGTGTTTCAAGCCAAGGTTCTAGTAAACCTCCAAAATCCAACATTGCCCAGTTCGCTCCAAACCTGGCCAAAGTTTTGCAATATTTTGCAATGAGCCCCCTATGTTTTGCAATGCCCTTCAAAAGATTTGGAGCAAATTGCGAAGTGTTGGGATTTTGGGTATTCATTAGGAATCTTAGTTTGAGAAACCCATTATTCAGCTTTTCGTCTGTTGCAAAATGTGGGGTTTTGTTGCAAACAACGCAAAACAATTGCAAAACTTTTACACAGGTTTTGGAGCAAATCAGATAATGTTAGTTTCTTGGGTGTTTACTAGCAACTCCAAGTTGATGTGTCAGTATCTCAATTTTGGGGGCATTACAAAATGTTGCAAAACCATTGCGAAACTTTGATGTAGGTTTGAAGCAAATTCTTAACATAGCTGCAGCATGGAGCAGGCACACAGATCAGAAATCAGGCCAGAAGGAGAACTTGGCAAAGACCAGTTATAATTGGCCCTCCATATCCATGGATTAAAAATTAAAATAAATACATTTTTTAAAAAATAAAATCCAAAAAACATTTGATTTTGCCATTTTATATAAGGGACACCATTTTACTCTATGCCATTGTATATAAAGGGATTTGAGCCTCCACAGATTTTGGAGTCCACAGGGGGTCCTGGAAACAGATCCCAGAGAATACCAAAGACCCACTGTGTCCTTTTCTTTCACTTCACATTACATGTTGATTCTTGTGTGCAGAGAGATCAAAAATTCAGATGAATTAGAGTGCTTATTTCATGGCTTGTAAATAAAATTATTTTATTAAAATTCTATAAATTTATCTCTTTTATGCCCACATTATGCCAAGGTCAGCCCCTTTGGCTGTGTTTAGATACTTCCTGAGGACAGATATTTCTATATTAGAAGGTTTCTTGCAAAGCATATGATCAATGATAGAATTTACCAGTTGTGTCCATTCAGGTTTACTGAGCTAATCTGGTGTGCTGATAATATATTTATCTACAAGCTAAATAAAAACAGGAAGGAGACAAAGTACGATAATGAATGTCTGAGTAAGTATTGCTTGGATTGTGAAATGTTATTGAACATTCCCAAATCCCAGAAATAAAATAAGCAGCTCATTTTGAGTGGCTCGAAATGCATCTGGAGTGATTTCAATCTCTTCATAAAATTTTATTCACCAGTCTGTTAACAGCATAAAAGAAGCAGGTGCAGATAGAAAGCACAAAGACATTTCATCCAAGTGCTTACTCTGCACTAACTTTATTTTATTTATTTATTTATTTTAAGAAAATACATACTAAACACAGCTTATATCTACATGTTACATATGTAAATTATATGTGACACCCACAAACCCTCAAATAAACTTACATATAATACACTCAATCTAACTCATACATTCTGATCAAACTCATCAAAAAGAACTACGCTAAAATAAAATAAAATAAAAAATAAAAAATGATTAGAAAACAAAATTTAAAAAAAATTCCAAAAAAAAGCACAAAACCAAAAACTATCATACATTCACACACAGATATATATATATACGAAAAATACTAATAAAAATAAAAAGGCAGCGTCTACTGAAAAAAATTTTCATTACAATTTGTCTATTCCCCGACACTGATTTATAACTGTCGTATGAGCAGTTTAGTTCTCTTCCCTATTGTTCCATATATCCTATCTATATGTCACTATAATGTTT